TGAGGTAGATATTCTGTGGGCATTTGCAGTGGTACCACAAATGTAATGGTTCTGTTCATCCCAGATCACATCTGAAAGATCACAAGATGCATTAGACACAAGTTGAACAGGGGTTGCGTGGGTTGATAACCCCATGATGGTTCAGTCCACTGAACTCCTGCTTATTCCCCTGGCTGTCTGGACCCATGGGGAGCAGCTGATGGGATTTTGTCCATGTAATGAGATTAAAAGAGCGTCTACAGTCCAGTACTATAGAGGAAGAGTAATGGAGAGTGAATGTTGTGTGTGCTCAGTGTGTGGCTGTGGGAGAGAGTAAAATACTGACCTTTGGTAATCGCAGGGCATCACAAATCTGTCAGTGTCTGAGAGGGGAGCAAAGGTTCAAATATGTATACGTACTAGCCTGGGTCGCAGAATGGCCTGCAGCCCATCTGGTTGACTGTAATTTTAAATTTGGGTAGATGTCTTGCACTCTCTCTCTCTACCTCACTTTCTTTTGCACAGTTCTGTGTAGTCCGAACTTTAGAATCTAAAAGGAAGGACAAGGTTTTCTGACGTTGGCTCTAATGTCACTTATCAGAAAGAAATTGATGTCATCATTCAGAATTTATAAAGTGGATTTTTCCTTTTCTAAAAGTTCTGGAAGTTGTTGTAACTTCTGTGACTTCGCTCTTGTGATGGCCAGTTATCTCAAACTTGATGATGTTTGATTATTATTAATGTAATTTATTTATTTATTTTAATGTTGAAATGGGCAGTTATCTTAAATATTATTATTAAAAATATTGTTTAATTTGAAAAATAATTAATGTTATTTATATAAATTTATTTTATTTGTTTATTTTTTTACTTTGAAGATTTATATCTTCATTGTGCTTCATATCATGCATAAAAATACTCTTGTCTGTTGTAAAATAACTCAGTCCCATGTTTGAGGTGCAACATTTTTTTAATTAGTATATATGGCTATATCTAAAATGCCTATTAGAGTATTAACAGGCCCTGAAAAATATTTAAAACACTGTGACATTGTTAGATTCCATACTATAGTGATCACTTTATATTTAATGGCAAGATTGCATTTCTTTTCTTGTGACATTCACACGCAAGGTAGTGTTTTTGAAACAAGGTTGAACTTTAAAGAGAACATGGTGTTTTTTTCTGAGAGTGTCATTGTGAAACCCAGAAGAGCTGGTAATGTGAACTGTAATGCAGTGATCTTCAGTGTCTTATGACTGCATATGGCATACATACAGCACTAAAGCTGTGTCTCAGTGTGCATGTCAGCTGATGACTGATTTTTGAGGGTCTCTAGGGAGGGCGGATTGGATCTCATCATCATAAAGTGCAGAGCAGAGCACAGGAAGAAGATGTGTCATCACTCTTTCCTGCCACAGTGCAGACGGTTGGGCAGCAGTGCTATCTGCATGTGTGTGGTGAGAGAGTGTGTTTTTCTTCGTCTTATGTACAAATAAGGCAAAAAGGGACAGATGGCACAAGCTGAGATAGTACCCTGCTCCATTGCTTTGTGTGCTTCTCTTGTGTGTGTATTAACGCGCTCACACATCTCTAATCCCGTTTTTGCCACCATTTCAACTGTGACTGACCCAAGCATCTTTGTTTTGGATTTAATAGTTTGTGGCATCATTTTATTGCACTTCTGCTAACTAGAAGACAGAGAGTGCCTGAAACTATTTTTTTTTTGGTAGTAGTGTTAGTAATAGAATTTAAGGCTCCTTTTGCACAGTTTCTTTAAATGTAAAGGGTGTTTTTGATATTTATGCTAAATGCACACAAATATGTAAATCTCTCTGCCAGTGGCTCTGAAACAAACGTGTTACACAAACTCTCTGAAACAGGAAGTGGGCTGAGGATTGTCTTGCACTCAGGGTGTGTTGTGACTTTATCAGATAAAGCTTAATCATGCTGGCTTCTCGTTTTACTGCATAGCATTGGCTAATACATAGTAAAAGGTTCTTTCTTTATTGACCAGGGCGGGGATGACCAAAGTATACATTGTACAATAAAACACTTCACAAGCCGATGCAGAGACACATTGCACTTCCTTTTGCAACACATGCTTTGAAATGTGTCAATGCAAATGCAGAACAGTATTACTTTTATTCCGTTTTGATAATTGTAATGTTTTATGCTGTATATCTATTGAATGCATCTTTTCACAGCATGGAATGAAAACAAAAATGTTGGTGGTGGTGTGTATGTGTTTGAAACAAAATTTTAAAATGACAAATTCTTAATAAATAATTTCTGCACTTTATTATTATTCTAGTTAATTACCTATAGCAGTTAACAAATCACAAAATAGCCTGGTTTCACATTGAAAAATGAGGTGGATAATCCTAAGCAAATGATTAATGAAAAGATGCAGTTATTCAAGAGAATTTGTTAGAACTCTGTAAAAAAAAAAAAAATTGACATGTAAGGTCTCTGCACACTGAGTCCAAAATTTTCGTATGTTTTTTTTCATATTCGAAATCCTAAAAATTTGTCACGCACAGAAACATTCCACACTGAGTCCGATGCGTATTAATTAATCCGTTGCGAAAAAATTTGCAAAACCGCACTAAATAGCATTTCAAGCAGTGAGGATGATTTTGTTGTCCTCTCGCTTCTTAAAAAAGAAAGGAAATATTGGGTCCATCCAATCCTGAGATATAGAGAGGAAGGAGAGTTCCCCCTCCTTATTAAGGAGCAGTGGGATTACACGGGCGATTGAAAGTTTACTTCAGGATGTCAGTGGCTCAGATTGATGCTTTTGCTAGCGATACTAGAGCCACATATTAAAAAGAAGACCACCAATTTCTGTGAACTCCGTGTGCAAGGATCTATATACAGTGCTTTGTGCTGTGAGATGAAGTGGATGAACTTGACAATCGCCATTCTGGATTTTGGCGTTCGCTTGTACGGTGGCTCTGAACTGTCAAAACACCTCTCAAAATGCGTGCTACGGATGCGAAAAACAGATATTTTGAATATTTCGGAGGCAGTGTGTAAATGTGATTGACATAACGTGAGGTCGTATTTATTTTTTAACGTGCGAAAATTTCGGACGAAATTTTCGGACTCAGTGTGCAATGACCTTTATTGTAAAATACCACCTGCTGTGTTTGCCAGACATTTACCATAAAAATATGGTAGCAACATTTCAGGTTTTACAGACTTAATATACCAACCTATTAAAGTACTAATATCTGTTTTGTACCATACACTGATAACCACCAAAAAGAGGTGGTGATGAGAGCTCATCACAAACAGCTTTTCCACAAGCTGAGATAGTAAATACTAATATGGAAGGTGCGTAGTGTCATTCACACTAGGCTTGCCGCGATAGATGGTGCTGACTGTTATACCGGTGTTAAGCCGCAACACCGGTTGCATCACTTGCCCACCGCGGCACCGACCCCCACCGTCGTTTAGATTTTTTATAGTAATAAAAATCATTTAGTTCAGTAAAAGAACAGACACTACAATTAAAAACTGAACGCGGCTGCTCAATGTAGCGTGCCGAACGACAGACCAGTGGGAAAATTTCCTCACCGTCACAACCCTAATTCACACGAACACTAAACACAATCATGGTACCACACGATACTGAAATAATGCAATAAACATTAATGTAACAACATTAGATGTAAGATAAAACCCTAATGTACGCAACTGATAAGAAAAAAGAATAAGAAACATATTTCAATGAAAAAACATCAAATGTGAAATGTCAAGCAGGGAATTCTGGGAATGTCAATGTATGGTTTTTCACTGTTAATTATACAATGACTTGTTCTTTTACACTTCCAAAAACCAGTATAAAACAAGTATTTTACTGTTAAATTACATTAAATGTAATTACAGTTATTCACCTTATATAGTACAAAAACGTAACCAATTAACAGGTTTTTACTGTAGCATTTTTACAGTCTTACTGTTAAATGTTCTATCTGTACAGATAATGTTCTTGTCTGATTCTGTTTTTAAGCAAATATTATCATGTCGAGACTGAGAGGTTGTAATCTCATTTCCGGGCTTTGATAGTATGTGAGTCAGAGCATGAAGTCCCTCTCGATAATGGCTGTAATTTGTGAAAAGTGGTGTTATTGAATGTCTGATGTGATATAATGGTCATTACTGATACTTGCGCTGCCTGTCTGAGCCAAGCAAATAAACTTTTCTTTTCTTTTCTTTTTTAACTAGAGATACAACAACAGTGGGTCTGAGTGTGAGCCGTTATACCAGCAGATCTGTGTGCGATTCAAGCTCTAGATTTCCACGAAAGAGACAAGTATAGATGCTGGAGTGGAGGTGGAGATCTGCTCTTGGCTTTCTGACAGACCTGAGCAGTTACATAAAAACCTGTCAGCTCAGCAGATGATTCTTATACTGCACTGCATTAAAAGCATTTTAGACACTCTGTGGGTCTGTTTTCCGAGTCTTTTGTTGCTGCTTCAGTGTTGTGCAGGTGTGTCCCAAACCCAGGCCCTGTCATTAGCATTTTGTCTGTAATCTTTCGTAAAAACACTTGGTTCTTAAGTTCCCAATCTCTCCTGTGTGTAATTTGGTGGCCTGTTCATGCTGGCAGCTGTTTCGAATATTTGGCGCAGAGTTGATCGTGGGACATGGCTTGTGTTATGTAATGTCATATTGTAGCTTTAGTCTGGCTGAAACCGAAAGAGTGTATGAGCAGGGTCTTTATTTCAAAATGTGATCGAGTTAGAAACACTCACCGGGCTTAGTCTTTGTTGATCCCTCTTCATGCATTTGTGTGTGTGGGTACACAGAGCATACGGCCAGATGGAGGGATATAGGAGGGACTGCAGGAACATTTTTGGAGTGTGTCAGGTTAAAAGCACAGTAGTGGTGGTGGATGGATGATGGCGGGATTATGCTGTGGTGTTCACGAGGCTCTGTCTGAAAAAGTGTTGCCATGGGTAACCTGTCTTAGGACCACTGGCTTCATTTTCTTTCTTTTTTTGTTTTGTTTCCAGGACAACAGGAACACGTCTGATGACAAGCCCGTTCAGCGTTCTAAGGTACATTGCTTTATGTTCACATCCTTCTTGTCTTTTCTTAATCACCTAGGGCTGCATGATAAATCGAAATGGAATAGAGATCGCGATTCGACAGAAGCTGCGATTGTCATGCGTATCTTTCAGTGAAGCACGGTTCTGTGATCAGCAGTAAATCTCCATCCAAAGGCCAGAGGGCGCTCTCGCGCTGAAACTCCAAATACGCCTCGGAGAAGTGACTAAGAACGTGACTAATAAACACACGACTACGGCAATATATGGTTTATCTGAGTTCTTATTATTATAATTTTCATTAAAATAAAGTATATTTATAATGCAATGCCTTTATCACTGCTTAAATACTATGACATATGTTGCGTGCCTTATTCTGTGTAAGAAGCCACATCATCTCACAGAAGGATTTATTTCAAACACTCGACTGACGTTATGAAGTGAGTTTGGAATAAAAATATGTTATTAAATGTGGTATTTTCACATGCTTTCAGATGGAGCAGCATTTACTTCACAGAGCCGTAGTTCACTGAGAAGCTATGCAAACAGCTGTCATTATCGCGAACGATTTCTTCGATTTCATAATCGCTCAATAAAATTTTATTTTATTTATACGCGATTTTTTTGCGTAACTTGTCAGTGAACTAAGGCTATGTGTAGTAAATTCTGCTCCATCTGAAAGCACGTGATGATGATTTACTGCTGATTACAGAAACGGCATTACTATCAAAATGCGCATAACAATCGCATTCGATTAATCGTGCAGCCCTAATCGTACCCAACACTCCCTCTGGTACTAGTTTTGTGCAGTAAAGCAATCGGTTTTCTTCCTCCATGGGGTTTTGAACATGATTCAATGTTCAAAACCATTCATCATCTTATACATATTATTTTATAATACATTTCATTAGGGATGCACCGAAATGAAAATTCTTGGCCGAAGGCCGAATACCGAACAAGGTTTTTCGAGGTTTTTTTTCCCCATGTATTTTGCCAATTTTTTTCACCACTGCACAAATTAAATAGCCAAAATGTGCTTTTTCCTGTTTTGTCTTGCTTTTCAAAGAAAAAAATCTATTACAAAACAACAATCCTAATTTGAACACTATGTGTGTATGTTATAATAAATGTATTAAAACAGAGCTGTTGTAATGATTATTATCATTATTATTGTCTTTCTTTTTATTTTATTTTACAGAACAACAGTAAAATTACAATACTAACATTTATGATTGTTTATGGAGTTATTGCTTTTTACAGTGTAGGAAGACCTTAATGCTTCTTTTTGTCGACAACAGCCGATTTATAGTCTCATTACGAATAAGTCGCACGTATCGCATTGTCACGTGCCTTGTAAAAAAAAAATCATAAAAATGTGACTGAGCAACTGAGTACACTGCTACAGCGCAGATTTCCCTCGCGGTGTGAAAAACATGACGTTCTGCAGTTTATTTACTAATTGTTTAAGGCCATTTCGCGATTTCAGTTATCATACAGTAACCAGCAACAATCACCCCTTCCTCTTCTCATCGAAGACATGCGATGCAGTACTAAACAGTCTCTTGCTGTCGGTGCTTGTAATGATTTTTGCGTCTTTCTCAGACAGTTTTAAATGCTTCCACACTGCTGACATGTTTGTTGCATTGCGCCTCTCACTCTACGCTGGTTGCTATTTGTTCGCGTCACATCATTGTTCGGTACAGTTTATTCGGTCTTTTTCGCTTATTTAATAATTTCGGTTACCGAACATTCAGTGCATCCCTACATTTCATAAATAAAAGATGAAATGCATTTTGAAAATATTTAATGGTATTAGATTTTTTACTTATCCTGAATATGACTGTAAGATTTGTACTAAGGATATATGCTTATAAGGACAAATAAAGCTTCAAAACTAATTAAAGTAAGTTAATATAAGTTTTTGTCTCATGCACAGTCAGTGCAAGTCAATATTCTGAAGTCATTTAGTGCTACTTTGATCTGTTCTTTGATTGAAAACCAATATCTTTGCTTGCGTTTCCTACCAGTCTTTCAGTTTCAAGACACAGAAGGAGACTTGTGCATCATGTGAGAAAACAGTGTATCCAATGGAGAGATTGGTGGCCAACAACCTCATCTTCCACAACACATGCTTCTGCTGCAAGCATTGCAACACCAAACTCAGGTTAGTCACTTCCTCACCAGCACAGCCTGAGAAAACGCCAAAAACTAGAGCAGTTAAACATGGGTTGTAAACTGAAAGAAGTCTTCTTTTGTAAGAAATCCTTTTGCTCTCCAAGGGTGCATGTATCTGATCAAAAATTCAGTACAAACAGTAATATTGTGGAATATTATTATCGTTTAAAATAACTGTTCTCTATTTGAATATATATTTTAAAAAGCCATTTATTCCTGTGATTGCAAAGCTGAATTTTCACCAGCCGTTACTCCAGTTTTCAGTGTCACATGGTCCTTCAGAAATCATTCTGATATGCTGATTTGAGCTTTTATGAATAGAATGTTCAAAAGAACAGCATTTATTTGGAATAGTAAAGACATTTATAATGTTTCAAAAAACTTCACTCGATTGTCAATTTAATGCAGTAACATTTATTTTATTTTTTTTATGTATTTCTAACGTTATCTCTTGGCTTCTGCGCTCTGCAGTCTGGGGTCCTATGCAGCGCTGCAGGGGGAGTTCTACTGCAAACCACACTTCCAGCAGCTCTTCAAGAGTAAAGGGAACTATGACGAGGGCTTCGGGCGCAAGCAGCACAAGGAGCTCTGGGCCTCCAAGGATGAAGAGAGCATCACCAAGACAGCATAATCCTCAGTGATTTCCAAAGCACCTTTCCCCTCCCTAGCCAATGATGATGACCCTTTATATACTCTGCCCACATCAATACACACATGCATCCACACACACACACACACACTTATTTCAAGCACACAAGCAGTTGATCCAGGCTTCTCATGATATCACAACACAATCACAGATATACCACCATGAGATAGGGTTGATTAGCTTCCCTTTTGTTTGTTCCTCGCTCCCTTCCTTCTCTGCTTAGTTTTCATTTTTATTTAGCTTTGGAAAATGTCATTTTGTGTTTGTGATGATTTTTTTTTGTAGTGTTGTGGAGTTAACAGTTAGTTGATTGTGACCAAAATCTGTGTCCCTATAGGTGGGATGATTCACTTATTAGCCTCATTACGATCCTGTTTGGCAGTACTAGTATCAGTTGGTTTCGTTAATTTTCTGTCGTGAAAGGTTTCAAGATGGTTTAGATTATACACTCAGGTAAAGATTCTGGGTTGATGCATCAAGATTATTCAGCAATCTTTTATGTACATAGTGAACTTAACTGTTTTGTCCCTAACTTCAGTTACAGCAATCTGTACTGTTTCCAAACTAAATGGCTTAACAGCGTTCCTTAAAATGGGAAAACTATCTTTTTTATTATTATTTTGTCTGCTTTGCTGGCGCAGGGTATTTTATCTGTGAATCTACAGGGTACACTGTACTGTAAAGAACTCACTTGAGTTTACATCCCCCTTACTTTTCATTCTTTTTCATCCTCGTTTTATCTTCTTTTGGCATTAAGAATTGGTATTTGACAGATCCTGTCAAGTCTGTGATCCAATCAGACAATATCATTCTTATTAAGCATGAGTATCTTTTACCAAATGTAGTTGTAAACACAAAATTTAGACATAATCTTATATCAGCCATCATTTCTGGCGCCCTCTAGTGTTTTGGATGATATTCCTTATTTGATCTAATGTTGGTTATTCTTTGCCATCTATTGATGCCATCTAGTGATATCTATGCTCATTTTATCAAACATAAATATTCCTTGTATATCTTATTTTAGTCACATTTAATGTTTTTCAGCAGACTGCACATCGTATTTTTTTTTATGTTGCTCAGTGATTTCTTGTAAAGGCATTTGCACATAAGTACCACTAAGCTGAGTGAATGTACTGTGATGCACTGTACTGTACTTATGCCTTGCTGCATGGGACCAAGTTTGTACAACAAAATTAAGACATTCACAGGGAACTAGGTCTCAGAGGAAATGACATTTATGATGCTTCACCCCCCCCCCTCCTGTGGGCTTCTCTGTGACAAGGTTTTGTGGGACTTTGAGCACATACGTAACCGTGTGGCTCGGAAGCATTGCTCAGGAATATGGATGGGTCGCAATGATGCAGCAGTGTCACCCCTAGTTAGAGTTCTGTGCGGGACTGTTTTTTTTAGTCCCGCTCCCGCAAGGTTCTATTCCGCACCCACCCGCTCCCGCTATATATTCACTCTTTGTTCACCCGCTGTCCGCTTAGTATAATTTTCTTCCCGACCCGACCGTTCCCGCTAACTTTAGATCTCGTTTCCAGAATCTCACATTTAAATTTCCGCTACTGAAATAAAGAGAGATAGGCTAACAAATAAAAGTGTATATGCTGTTCTAAATGGACGTCGGGAACGGGGTATTGATAGACCGCCCGCTCCCGCTCAAATTACACCAGAGTTACCGACCGCTACCGCGTTTTATTCGGGAATTTAATACCGCGACGCAAAAAATCCGGTCGGGTCGAGAGCCGCGGGAATGCAGACCTCTACCCCTAGTGTTCATTGTTAAAAGCTGTTGTTCGCTAAATGAATCATTTTTACAATCTAAATCGACAAACAATCAGCAGTTGGGGTTTGAGCAGGAAGGGGGTGCTGTACATCTAAGTGAACACTTCCATCCCAGGTTTTATATGCACACGTCAGTGTGAAACTGTGACTTGTGAATTATCACTGTGGCCATAAACTGTGACCTCTCCAGAGGTTCATGTATTTGTGTGCAAACATCATTAATGCCATCATGTTGTTTCTTTTAATGAATGAAATGCCTCTGTGTTTTAATACTGTTGCTTTTTTGGTTTTCTAGTGGAACATGGTAAAGCTGTTCTGATAAGCCTGTATTTGTTAAATGCCATAAGGAAGTGGTCTGTAGATCGTTTTGCCTTTAGTTTTAGGGCCATGATAATGGCTTGTTGTGTTTGCAAATGTCTCGTCTGCCTTCCAGTGCAATGGCCTTTTGTCTGTACGTTTGAGGAGATTCTCCATTTAGACTTGCTAAGCCATTGAAAATCATCCAAATATTTTCAACAACTTGAACGCCACAAAAGTCCCTGTGTGTGTATATATTTAAGATGACTGTGAAATTGAAATGCATTGCAAGGTTTAGATGAATTATCGAAAGCTCTTGGCATGAACGGAAATAATATTTTCATATTAAGTCTTATCGTTTTAGTTGCATTTTTTTTGCGTTGAATCATTTTTAAGAACACTTTGTTTTCAGCTTCCTATGAGCTTTCCCCCCAAAGCTTTAAAATTTCATAATCAACTTCCTCACTTTCTCTCTGTAAATGATTTGGTCTTCTTTCCAATGCATTTTCTTTTCTGTAGAAATGTGCTTTTAATTTTGGAGCAAACTTTTCACAGACACAAATCACTGTGTTTACGCCAATTGTTAGTTGTGTTTGCACGCAGTGCGCCAAGGTACAAATGACACAATATCCTGCAAACGCTCACTGTCTTTTATAAACTACAGAACAAATAGGAAAAAGGTACGCTCCTCTTTGCTCTTTTCTGATGGGTTTGTAGTATGTCTTTGGATTTGTGAGTATGTCTTTGTAAATGCATGGATATTTAAGGTTGCAAAAGATTATTTTGTTGACACTGTCTGCATGCGTTGAGTGAGAGGAGATAAATGTACGCAAAGTTGTATTACTCTTTATCTAAAACTTGATCAGTGGAACAAGGTGGCCTTAAAGCAGAAGGAGGTCTTGGCTCTTTATTTTTCTCTTTTGTCCCCCATCAGGTTTATTTTTGTCTATCAGCCCTCCAGTTCAACTGCTAGAAGAATTTATAATAAAATATGATTTTGCTTTCTTTCACTTCCCACAGTCTTGTCTCATCTTTTTCTCCTCCTTTTTATTTCTCATTTTTGTACACACTTTTGGAGAAAAACAATAAACGATATGCTGGTGTTGATCAACCCTTAGTTTGGATGTTTTCTTATAGTGAAGAAAATAAAATGTTAACTCAAAATATGAAAATGTACACTTTATTTTAGCTAGTTGCCAAGGTAACATTTCTTATTTTAATTTTTTAATGATTGATGTACTACACTAAAACTGAAATAAAAATGAATAAATAAGGACGTGTTTAGAAAAAAAAATGAATAAAAATGACAAACATGGACAACAAATTTTACAGAAAACAATTCTCAATAGTAATTCTTAAAGTGATATAATTCTTTAAAAAAAGAAACATTACAATGACTGAAATATATTCTTTAAAATATAAAAAGAGTACAGCAAACGACATATATAACAGACAGCAGAGAAAAATTAATATGAGGTGAATTTAGTCACTTTTCATTCACGATTTTCAGCACTTTCATTTGTAATGTTTATTTACAAGTAACATGAATATTGTAAATAAATACTGGTCCCAGACACAAATCCAAAAACAAATCACACTAAGAAATATTTGCCGTGAAGAGTTCTGGTGTGTATATGTTAAATGCATCACATTATTCATCTAAATACGGAACCTCTGGTAATCTCGCCCTTATTTATTTATTTTTATTTAAATATTTAATTTACATTTTTTTTTTTTTTTTACATTATCAAATCAAATCCTGCAAACGCTCACTGTCTTTTATAAACTACAGAACAAATAGGAAAAAGGTACGCTCCTCTTTGCTCTTTTCTGATGGGTTTGTAGTATGTCTTTGGATTTGTGAGTATGTCTTTGTAAATGCATGGATATTTAAGGTTGCAAAAGATTATTTTGTTGACACTGTCTGCATGCGTTGAGTGAGAGGAGATAAATGTACGCAAAGTTGTATTACTCTTTATCTAAAACTTGATCAGTGGAACAAGGTGGCCTTAAAGCAGAAGGAGGTCTTGGCTCTTTATTTTTCTCTTTTGTCCCCCATCAGGTTTATTTTTGTCTATCAGCCCTCCAGTTCAACTGCTAGAAGAATTTATAATAAAATATGATTTTGCTTTCTTTCACTTCCCACAGTCTTGTCTCATCTTTTTCTCCTCCTTTTTATTTCTCATTTTTGTACACACTTTTGGAGAAAAACAATAAACGATATGCTGGTGTTGATCAACCCTTAGTTTGGATGTTTTCTTATAGTGAAGAAAATAAAATGTTAACTCAAAATATGAAAATGTACACTTTATTTTAGCTAGTTGCCAAGGTAACATTTCTTATTTTAATTTTTTAATGATTGATGTACTACACTAAAACTGAAATAAAAATGAATAAATAAGGACGTGTTTAGAAAAAAAAACGAATAAAAATGACAAACATGGACAACAAATTTTACAAAAAACAATTCTCAATAGTAATTCTTAAAGTGATATAATTCTTTAAAAAAAGAAACATTACAATGACTGAAATATATTCTTTAAAATATAAGAGTACAGCAAACAACGACATATATAACAGACAGCAGAGAAAAATTAATATGAGGTGAATTTAGTCACTTTTCACTCACGATTTTCAGCACTTTCATTTGTAATGTTTATTTACAAGTAACATGAATATTGTAAATAAATACTGGTCCCAGACACAAATCCAAAAACAAATCACACTAAGAAATATTTGCCGTGAAGAGTTCTGGTGTGTATATGTTAAATGCATCACATTATTCATCTAAATACGGAACCTCTGGTAATCTCGCCCTTATTTATTTATTTTTATTTAAATATTTAATTTACATTTTTTTTTTTTTTTTTACATTATCAAATCAAACAAAAAAGTAAGTACCAAGAGTCAAGGTAGCACTAAACAAGAGTGCACTGAAATAAATATTTTTACTTTGAAAAAATAGGTATTTATATATTTGGTTCTTAATATATATATATATATATTTTGTTTAATAGAAAAATCAAAAAAGGTACAAACAAAACCGGCTTTAAGTGAACAAAAGTAAAAAATATCAAAATACACAGTTGCAAACGGTTACAATAGGCAGACACAACTATAAGTTATATACATTGTATGGCAGTGGCTAAATTTGAATTTGAAATCATAATGAAATATATTAAGCTGTTAATTGTCACGGGCCCACCGGTGGGCCCACTTGCCATTACATGTTTTAAACAGTAATATCTTAGTCTGAACCTAAAGTAATCTTGACAAACTATATCGTTTGAAAGCTTAAAGACTCTAGTTTTGATATTTGGTGACTGATTTTTGAAATATTTTACAGAGCAACTGTAATTTATTAATATGCAAGAAGAGTACTCATCAGAGTCAGACCTTTACTTTGAAATAGTGATGCACATATGAAATCATGAAAAATCTGTAAAAATCTTTATTCATTTTCATGGAGAGTGTTCAAAAGATAACATCCATTCTATTTATTGAGAAAAAAAGGTCTAAAAGTGTTTTGAATAGAAAAAAAAATAGAAAAAAAAAGATAGAAAAAAACCAATAGATTCTCCATGCATTGTGAACTATAACGCAAGTCCAGGGTTCTCGTAGTATGTCTTTTATGTTTTTTTGAGGTTGAATTGAAATCAAATACTGCCATACTGCCATTAATACTTCTGATTGTGATGTCTACTTCATAAATATTGAGAAAAGTATGGAAAAACATGTTTCAGATCACTCAAACCATATATGGAAATGAAGGCGCCCTTAAATGGTTACTAATCAACGCTTAATATATAAATTTTGTAACTTTTGAACACAAAAAAGTTACGGACTGCAGCTTTAACCAAAAAAATAAAATAAAAAATACAGTAAAAACTAATACTGTGAAATATTACAATTTAAAAATAGTTTTCTGTTTTAATATATTGTTATTAATTAATATTATTATATATTTTAAAATATATTTTATTCGTGATGGCAGAGCTAAATTTTCATCAGTCATTACTCCAGTTTTCAGTGTCACGTGATCCTTCAGAAATCATTCTAATATTTTGATTTGCTGCTTAAGAAACATTTCAGATTTTTATTCATGTTGAAAACAGTTGTGCTGCTGAA